GCCCCCCCACAAAGTGGGGGTATTGCCCGCCTCCTATGAAAACCCTGGCACTGGTGAGAACGGAGTGTCCCCACGTGCTAGTAATTGTTGTTGTTGTTGTTGTTGTTGTTGTTGTTGTTGTTGTTGTTGTTGTTGTTGTTGTTGTTGTTGTTGTTGTTGTTGTTGTTGTTGTTGTTGTTGTTGTTGTTGTTGTTGTTGTTTTCGTCGTTTTCGTCGTTTTCGTTGTTTTCGTTGTTTCCGTTGTTTTCGTTGTTTTCGTTGTTTTCGTTGTCGGGCGTCGGTCGTCGGTCGGTCGGTCGGTCGGTCGGTCGGAGCCGTGTCGTCGTCGATGGCCTCGGCGTCGGCGTCGGCTTCGGCCCGTCGTCGTCCAAGGCCTCCTCCTCGTCATCGTCTCCATCCCCGCCGTCGTCCTCCTCTCCCTTCCTCCCCTTTCTCTGCTCTCCCTCCTGCCCCTCCTTCCCCCCCTTCCCCTCCCCGCCTCGCCTGCGACCTCGCCCGAGCGCGGCCCCTCCCGGAGGCCGCCGACAAGCGCGAGAGCGACCTCCAGAGCTCCCTGGACCAGCAGGAGGCGGAGGCGGTCCGCCGCTTGGGGAGTGTGCGGCGCAGCCACCGACGCCGTCGTCGCCGTCGTCGTCGTCGTCGTCGGCGTCGCCGTCGCCGTCGCCGTCGCCGTCGCCGTCGCCGTCGCCGTCGCCGTCGCCCGCCCCTCGGCCCGCTCTCCCAGACCACGACGCGTATACAACAGGTCGCGGCGTGCGCCGTTTCTTTCTGGCAGTTTTGGCCGCCGGTATCGCCGTCGGGGCCTGGGGCCATCCTGGAGATGCCGACGAACAGTTTGGCCCGTGGTGGTGGATCGAAGGCCCCGGGGCTGCTTCCTCCTCGCCCACCCGCGTTGGGAAGAGGAGGGACAGATGAGGAGAGGGGGATGAGGACGGGATTTTGAAGGCTCTAGTGAGATCCAGTGTTTCTGGTGGGGCGTGAGAAAGCCTCAGTAAAGGCCTCTCCATCTCCATCTGCCCCCTTCCCTCCGCCGCGCTCCCTCAACTCAACCTCCTCCTCCCCTTGGTCCTGGAAGCGGTGCAAACATGAGTGAAGTGACGACCAGCTGGAGATGCTCACAGGTGCCCTCCCGCGGGTCACGGCGAGTGCCGTCCCGCTGGGTGGACAGAGGCTTGCCTCGCATCAGGCCTGTGCGGACTTATTGCCTTGGCATCGCTCGGGCGCGTGCACGTTTTCTCGGCGGGGACCATCGAGGAGCATCCTAGACCATCAGAGCCCCGAATCATCAGGGGTAACTCGGGTCAGGGATAACTCGGGTTCCTTTTTCGGGAATCCAAGCCCGAGTTACCCCGGACCCGAGTTACCCCGGATAACTCGGGCGACCAGAGCCCCAGAATCATCAGGGGTAACTCGGGTCAGGGATAACTCGGGTTCCATTTTCGGGAATCCAAGCCCGAGTTACCCCGGACCCGAGTTACCCCGGATAACTCGGCGCCCAACTCCATCTTGCAAAACATAAGAGCGCGCACGAAACCCGACAGTGCACTGGGAGTGGACGTCCGAGCGATGGCACTGATAGGGCAGGTCCGTTCTGGGACCACTTCCAGTGGGTCCAGGAGAGGAGAAGGAGGAGGAGGGAGGAGGAGGGGAGGAGGAGGAGAGAGGAGGAGAGGAGGAGGAGGAGGATGAGGAGGAGGAGGGAGAGGGAGGAGGGAGAGGAGGGGAGGAGGAGGAGGAGGAGGAGGAGGAGAAGGAGGAGGAGGAGGAGTCGGAGGAGGAGGCCCTCCGCCCAGAGGGCCCAGGTGGCCGCAGCCTTCGGAGGTCAAAGGCCGGCGGCGACAGCTACAGGGGCGGGAGACGGAGGAAGGCCTGCGGACTGCCTGAGATCGGCGGCGAGCGAAGGGGGGAAAGTGAGAAGGAAAAGGCCTTCTCAGAAGACGGCGGGGCTTAGGATTTGTTGTGCGTTTTCGGAGAAGGCTTAGAAAACCTCTCAGAAGGCAGGGGGACTCCCGAGCCGTCTGAGAAGGCCCGCCCCTTCTCGCTTCCCCCCCTCGCCCGCCGCCGATGAGGTCTGACGAGGAGGAGGCGGGAGTGCCAGATGGCGCTGTGCATGCAAGTGTCTGGTACCGTGTGGCTGCCGTCTGGAAGCGGGGCGGCCCCGAGCGGCGCGCCCCCCCTGTGCGGGGGCAGCCACACGGATCCAGGCGCACACGCCTGAGCAGGCGAACGGGTGCCTGCCTCTTGGCGGCGCTCGGGCGGGTGCATTTTTCTCTCCTCGGCGAGAGCCATCGAGGAGCACCCTGGCCCGCCGAGCAAAGAGAAAACACACGCGCGCGCACGACGCCGAAAAACCAGGCAGCGGGGAACCGGCGCCCGAGCGACGGCGAGGCCCAGCAGCTGCCGCGCGAGGGGGGGGGGCGGGGCAGGCACGGCCACGGCGCCGCGCCGAGGAGACCGCCCCGCTCCCCCCCCCCCCGAGCGGCGCGGGCGCGCCCGCGCCCGAGCCCCTCGGGCCCCTGGGGCCGCGGCCGCGGCCCGCCGCGGGCTCTCGCCTCCTGCGCGCGGCGCCCCCCGCGGCGGCGCCCGCCGCCTGGCCGCGCGGCCCGCCCCCGGGGCGCGGGGCCGCCCGGCCCGCCCGAGCGCCCGCCGCGGACCGCGCCGGCGCCCCGCGCGCCCTCTCTCGGAGCAGAACCTCTCGCGAGCGCTGGGCGAAGCTCAGTACAATGCCGTTTCTAGTACATGCTCCGCGTGCGGACCATGTATGTAAAATAAAAGGTTGATTAGTAGATACAAGGATGAGTTTATGCATTCATTTGTTCACAAATTAAGCACGTATTTAAAATCCGATGTTTATATATACATATATATAATAAATAAATAAATTTAAAAAACCTATGTATTTAACACTGCTCTGTAACGTTGTCGTCCTCCGGCGGGCTCGGGGACGCAGAGGCGCGCCCGCCGGAGGCGCGGAGGCGCGGAGGCGCGCCCGCGCCTCGGCCGCCGCCGGCCGCATGCTCTGCGGCGCCGCGCCAGGCCCGCTGGCGCGCGCCCTCCTCCTCCTCCCTCCTCCTCCTCCTCCTCCTCCGCCTCCGCCCTCACCTCCTCGGCCTCCTCTCCTCCCCCTCCTCCGCCTCCCCTCCCGCTCCTCCTCCTCCTCCTCCTACCTCCTCCTCCCCCTCCTCCTCCTCCCTCCTCCTCCTCCTCCTCCTCCTCCTCCTCCTCCTCCTCCTCCTCCTCCTCCTCCTCCTCTGCGGCAGGTCCGCGTCGGGTGGCCGCGCGGCGGCCCCACCGCGGGCGCTCCAGGCCGAGAGCGCCGCCGGTGGCCCAACGTCTGCCAAGCATGGAGCGCTCTGGCGGTCGAGGAGCCGCCGATCCCTACAGGTCGAGCGATCCGCGCGCTGGTCAGAAATCAGAGCGTGAATTACCTACCCAAGCCATACCACGCCATAGACATACCTCCTCCTCCTCCTCCTCCTCCTCCTCCTCCTCCTCCTCCTCCTCCTCCTCCTCCTCCTCCTCCTCCTCCTCCTCCTCCTCCTCCTCCTCCTCTCCCTCCTCCTACCCAAGCCATACCCAAGAGAAGGAGGAGGAGGAGGAGGAGGAGGCCGCTTTCGCTTCCGGGCAAAACCAAGCCATACCACGCGCCTCCTCGTCAGGCGGCCTGGTCAGTACAGGCTGCAATCTGGCATCGTTTGGTGTCTCTTGGAGGCGAGGGTGGTGAGAAGCGAGGGAGGGTTTTCCCCCTAAGAAAGCCGACGCCGGAGTCGTCACGACACGAGCCTCCCGCAGCCAGGACAGGGGCTTTGGGGCCTGTGAGCGCTGTGCCTGCTAAGCTGCTACGCCATCGAGGCCGCTGCGCTGGCTGACGACGACGGCGGCGGCGGCGGCGGCGACGACGACGACGACGACTGAGTACGACCGACGACCGACGACCGACGACCGACGGCCGACGACCGACGACCGACGACCGACGACCGACGACCGACGACGACGACGACGACGACGGCGACGACGACGACGACGACGACGATGGCCGACTAGCGACGACCGACGGCCGACGACCGCGGACCGACGACGACGGACGACGGACGACGACGACGACGACGACGACGAGGACGACGACGACGACGACGACGACCGAAGACGACCGACGGCCGACAGCCGACGACCGACGAACGACTCCCGACGACGACGACGACGACGACGACGACGACGACGACGACGACGACGACGACGACGACGGCGCCGACGACGGACCGACCGATCGACCGACCGACCAACCGACCGACCGACCGACCGACCGACGGCCGACGTTCGACGAAGACGACGACGACGACGCCGACCGACGACGCCGACCGACGACTGAGTACGAACGGGGACGACCGATGGCCGACGGCCGACGACGGACGTCTGGCGACGACGACGACGACGACGACGACGACGACGACCGGCCACGCACGACCCACGGCCGACGACTACGACGCACGACGACGACCGCGGCGTCGTTGCCGCCCGAGACGCCGGTGCGCCCCGCGCCGGGAGGCCCGGCGGCTCAGGAAGGAGCTCGACACTCTGCGCGAAGAGAGCGAGCGACAGGCGTCGGCTCGGCTCGGCTCGTCGTCGTCGTCGGTCGTCCTCGTCGTCCGTCGTCGTCCGTCGTCTGTCGTCCGTTGCCGCGGCGGCTGTCGTCCACCGTCGTCGTCCGTCGTCGCGTCGTGGCCGGTCGTCTCCTGCCTCCTCCTCCTCCTCCTGGCTCCTCCCGCTCCTTGCTGCCTCCTCACTGTCTCCATTCCGTAGGGCCCCAAGACGCCCACACGTTGGCCCAGCAATCCTTCGATGGGGTTCCCGCGAGTCAGGCAAGAGGGGGTAGAGGGTTTTAAACAATCAGCTGCCAAGGCACCGTTGGCCGAGGTAGGGTGCGTGATTCGTTCACCCTTGCAATCTTGATTTAAGATTACAGTTCCCGCGCGTTGCCGTGCACTCGCGTGCAGGGATACGGCATCATTTCTCTGAGCCTGAGACCCCTTCTAGAGGACACAAAGCCCGCGACGCGTCGCAAAGAAAGAAACACCAAATCCTTCGGTGGGGCTCCCAGAGGCCCCCGAAAGGTCCGAGAGAGCACCCAGAAGGCTCCCGACAGGCCAGGGGTGAGTACGGCGCTCCCGGCGGCGAAAGAGTTCTACTAACTGCTCTGGACGCCCGAAATGGGTACGGAAAGAATAGGTACAATGCCCAACAGCAGTTCCTGTTCATTTTGAACAGGATTCGCTGTCCACGCTGCCGCGGCCTGTGTCCATTCGAGACAGAAGGCCGCCTGCCCAACAGCGGCCGCTGTTGGTTTGGGACAACCTTTGTTGTTGGGCACTGTACCCATTTTTTCCGTACCCATTTCGGGCGTCCAAAATTGCCTTCGGCCCATCCCGCCACCGTGCCTGTGTTGTGGGTATGAAGCCTATTGGATGGTTTTGGGGGATCTCGTGGGGGGCCTTCTCGGGGGCCTCTTGGAGGCAGCTTGGGCGCCTCTTGGGGGCCGTTTGGGGGCCTCGTAGGGCTTCTTTGGGGCTTCCTGGAGGCCTCTTGGGGGCCTCCTGGGCGCCTCTTGGGGCGGAAGGCTCGGATTTTCGGTTCGTGCTCCATCTTTGGGGCCCCTTGCAGGGCCGTCTTGGGGCCCTCTGAGGCCGTTTTGGGCGCCTCTTGGGCCGTCCTGGGGCCTTCTTAGCCGTTTGGGGGACCTATTGGAGGCCTCTTGGGCCGTTCTTGGGGGCCTCTAATGCCGTCTGGGATCGTCGGAAAGCCGAAAAAAGGCGAGAACACCAACATCTCTCAAAACCTCAGGAACATCAATGGTTTGGGTCTCTTGCGGTACTCTTGGGAGGCTTCTTGGAGGCCTCTCTGGGTGTCTTGGAGGCCTCTTGGGCCGTCTGGTGGCCATGTTGAGCGTCTGAGCGTCTTGGGGCGATCGTTCGGCGACTCGGGATCCTCTTGGACCGTCTTGGGGGCTTCTTGGGGCCCCTCCTCGCCCGTCTTGGGGCTCCCTTGGGCCCGAAAATGTCCCGCGGGAGCACTTCCCAGGGCCCAAGGGGGGGGCACAGGGGCAGCCCCCCGTAGGTTTGAGGATTCGGCGTCTGGGGCCTTCAGCTTGGCATCGCTCGGGCTTGTGCATTTTTTCTTCGGCGAGGGCCATCGAGGAACATCCTTGATCATTTTGGCGAAAAAACCACGCACGAAACCGAAAAAACACACAGGGAATGGACGTCCGAGCGATGGCGAGTCAGGGGTTCCTCAGAGGTGAGGATTGAGGCTCAGGGGATCAGGGAAAGGACCTGAGGACACGCCCACTCCGTGCCCAGGGGCACCGTGGCGGATGATGATTCCCCCCTCCTGTATTGCGCCCTCCACGGTCGCAGCCAAAAAGCATCGCCCCCTCGTGTGCAGCTGCGGCTCTCCCTCGCGATGCTGCTCCGGAACGAAGGGTCCGGCGTACGTCCACCGAGGCACTGCTTCTGCACGCATACCTTCCTGCATGTGTTCAGGTGTGTCTTCGGCATGTTGTTTTCTGCCGATGCGCCGTCAGGGCGCGGCTCTTGCCTGCCTGCCTGCCTGCCTGCCTCGTCTGCAGCGCACGCAGCGGACGCACTCGAAGGGGAGGGCAAGGGAGGGGATGGGAGGGGCGGCCGCCCGGGCGGGCGCCGACCAGGCTCCTCAGATCTTCCGGTGGGGTCTCAACGCTCAAAGGGCTCCAAGTTGCCCGGGGAGGGCCCGGAGGGATTTTCGAGATGGGCAATCAGCGCCCCACGATCGCCAAGGACGGCGCTCAGAGGACCATAGAAGTCAGGAGGGGAAGAAACACACAGACACAATTAATCGTCGATCCCTAGGAAAATATGGGAAAATATGGGAAGTGGTGGGGAAGACAAAAACTCAGAAAATATGGGAAAATATGGGGAATATTTTTATTTGTGTGTATTTATTTGTGTATTTGTGGGCCTCTTCAAGAAGGGCTCCAAAAGGGGTGAGATGCCCCCAGTGGGGGCTCCAAGACCTGGCAAGGAGCCGCCGGAAGGACCCTCGAGCCCAAGACAGCCCACGAGGTGCCCAAGGCGACCTCCCAGCAAGTTCTCCGCATCTTCATTCAGGAGCTGGTCGCTCTTTGCCCTTATGCCTATGCAGACTCTCCTTGCCCTCCCTCCCTGACTGTTCAGCAGGTCAGCTTCGTCAGTCCGGCAATCGCTCTGCCACTCGCGATTGGGCGCGTCTGGATTGCAGGCGGCGTCCGCAATGTCGCCTGCGGATCGCGTGGCCTCCGCAGGGGCCACAGCGGGGCCGGAGAGAGCCCGTCACCGCCAAGGACAAGTGGCAGGCCCTCCTCCTCCTCCTCCTCCTCCTCCTCCTCCTCCTCCTCCTCCTCCTCCCTCCATCTCCTCCTCAACCTCCTCCTCCTCCTCCTCTTCCTCCTCCTCCTCTTCCTCCTCCTCCTCCTCCTGCCGAGCCTGCTCGAGAGAGAGCTCGGTGCAAGGAATCATCGCGCACGCGGCTGCCCAAGACCCCCTCGACCGCCTCCGGCAGGCCCCTGCACGTCCTGCGGCGTTTTCAGGACTCTTCGCATGGCATCCGTGGGAACACGGAAGTGGACACACACACACATACCCACACACACACACACACATACCCACACACACACACACATACCCACACACAGATGCACAAACACCCACCCACACACACATACACATACCCACACACATATGCACAAACACCCAGGAGCGCACGTAGTTCTCATTCGCTTCATCCCAGTGATGGGAGTCCGTAAGCTGTGACCACAGGCTACTGAGCCGACGAGCGCGGAGCGCCCGCGGTGTTCTCGTGGCAGAGAAGAGGACAGCGCTCCGAGGGCGCAAGGGGCCCTTTAGAGCCCCTGCTGGCTCCAAAAGGGGCCCCTCCTCCTCCTCCTCCTCCTCCTCCTCCTCCTCCTCCTCCTCCTCCTCTGCCTTGTTTTTTCACCCACACTCATTCGATCGGGGGCGAGCCCAGAAGGGGGGAAGAGAGAAGGGGCGGGCCTTCTCGGAAGGCTCGGCAATCCCGCGGCCTTCTGAGAAGTTGCCGAGCCTTTCCCGAAGACGCAACAACACTTTCGCCTGAGGTTCGTGAGCTTGGCAATGGGAGCCAGGAGAGTTGCAGCCAGAAGAGGTGCACTGCTGCAGCGGGCGCTCACGTGGAAGCAGAGCCGGGCGGCGAGAGCGAACTGCACCGGTGGGCAACACAGGGGCCTTCCCTCCGCGCGAGAGCGCCGGTGTGCAGAGCGTCACCTCGCGAGCACGAGCAGCTGCACTCGCACGAGCAGCACCCTCCTCCTTCTCCCCCTCCCCATCCTCCTCCTCTTCCTCCTCCTCCTCCTCCTCCTCCTCCTCGTCTAGCCTCAGCAGATACACGAGGAGAAGCGAGCAGCAGGAGGGAGGAAGGAGGACGGGAAAGGAGGGAGCAGAGCCGCAAAATTTGAGCCTTGCAGGCTGCAAGCGCCTCCCATCAGGAGCACACTACGCCACGATACACCCTGAGGCCAGCACTGTCATAGAAGCCCACAGAAACATTTCTAACACAAGCTGGAGAGACAAGATGGCACTGGACCCCCACCCCAGAAAGGAAGGAGGGGGGAGGAGTGGCGAGGGAGGAGGAAAAACAAGGAGGACAGGGTGAGGGAAGAAAGGAAGGAGGAGGAGGAGCAGGAGGAGGAAGAGGAGAAGGAGGACGAGGAGGAGGAGGAGGAGGACGACGAGGAGCAGGAGGAGGAAGAGGAGAAGGAGGAGAGGGGAGGGCGACGGGGGAGAGGGAGGAGGCTGGTAGGAAGCAGGAGACGCGAGCGAGCGAGGAGGAGGAGGAGGAGGAGGGGAGGAGGAGGAGAAGGAGGAGGAGAAGGAGGAGGAGGGGAGGGAGGAGGAGGAGGGGGAGGAGGGGAGGAGGAGGAGGAGGAGGAGGGAGGAGGAGGAGAGGAGGGGAGGAGGAGGGGGAGGAGGAGAGGAGGAGGAGGAGAGGAGAGGAGGAGGAGGAGAGGCGGAGGAGGGGGAGGGGGAGGGGAGGGGGAGGAGGAGGAGGGAGGAGGAGGAGGAGGAAGAAGATAGTGGAGCGCGATGGATGACGACGGAGAAGGATGAGGAGGAGGAGGAGGAGGAGGAGGAGGAGGAGGAGGAGGAGGAGGAGGAGCAGCAGGAGGAGGAGGAGGAGGAGGAGGAGGAGGAGAATCAAGGGCGCAAGGCCCGCTCGGGAGAGGCGGCCGAGCTCTCCCTGGGAGCGCAGAGCGAGCCACGCGGGGGGATGCTGGCGATGCCCGTCGGCCGTGGGCAAGCCCAGGCGCAGCCATCTTTCCGGGCTCGGCAGGAGGCCTTGGCCAGGGTTGGGTCCCCAGACCTCCTCGCGACGTGAAAAAATCACGACGGGAGGTTTTTCGCTATTTTCGGCCTCTGGAGGCCCTTCCCGGGCCTCGGGAGCGTCAAAAAACGACTCAGGACGAAGAACCGGTCCCGGGGAAGGGGTCCAGACCTCTGGGGATCGACGTTGTGGAAAAAACACGACGTCGGGGGTCTGGGTCCCCGGGTGAGCCGCGTCCGGCGTGCTCTGTCCGCAGCTCTGCAGGGGGGGAGGGGAGTGTCGCTGGTTCCTCGCCTTCTCACGCCCATCCCCTCTCGTTCATCACCTTGCTCCTCACCTTGCTCCTCACCTTGTTCCTCTGGTTTCTCACCTCGTTTCTCACGCCCACCTTGTTCCTCACCTTCTCACGCCCTCCCGGGTTCTCCCCATCTCCCTTTTGTTCCCCGTGTGTTGCGTTACCATTTCCGTTTCTTTCTTCCTTGTTTGTTTTATTTGTTTGTTCCTTCTCTCTCTCTTTCTTCTTTTTCTCTCTTCCTCCATTCCCCTTCACCCGCCCTCCTCCTCCTCCTCCTCCTGCTCCTCCTGCTCCTCCTCCTCCTCCTCCTCCTCCTCCTGCTCCTCCTCCTCCTCCTCCTCCTCCTCCTCCTCCTCCTCCTCCTCCTCCTCCTCCTCCCCCTCCCCTCCATTCCCCTTCACCCGCCCTCCTCCCTCGCTCCCCCCCTGCCCCCCTGCCCTTCTCGTCGTGCTCGCAACTCGGAACTCTGCGAAACTGGTCGTGCGGTCACAAAGCTATAGTTCGAAGGAAGAGATCGGGCGGTCGTGAGGGTCGCTGGCCCTGCCAGAGCCGATGAGGAGGAGGCGGAGGAGGAGGAGGAGGACGAGGAGGAGGAGGAGGAGGAGGAAGAGGAGAAGCGGGGGGGAGGGGGAGGGGGATGATGATGGTGATGATGCTGCTGCTGCTGCTGCTGATGATGATGATGATGATGATGATGATGATGATGATGATGATGATGATGATGATGATGATGATGATGATGGCTGCTGCTGATGATGATGGTGAGATGTGGATGGTGATGTGGTTGATGATGATGATGCTGCTGATGATGATGATGGTTGATGATGCTGCTGATGATGATGTTGATGGATGATGCTGGTGCTGGGCTGCTGATGATGATGATGATGATGATGATGATGATGATGATGATGATGATGATGATGATGATGATGATGATGATGGATGATGATGATGATGATGATGATGATGATGGTGATGATCGTGATGGTGATGGTGATGGTGATGGTGATGGTGATGGTGATGGTGATGGTGATGGTGATGGTGGTGGTGTTGATAATGCTGCTGCTGCTGCTGCTGAGAAGGAGGAGGAGGAGGAGGAGGAGCGGGAGGAGGAGGAGGAGGCGGGAGGAGGAGGAGGAGGAGGAGGAGGAGGACAAGTGTAATCCCAAGACGCATCAACGAATGTGCGCGGCGCGGGAGCGAAAACAGCATTTTGAAAACGGCCCGCCCTCTATCCGTGAAAGTGTTGCAGAAGTCGAGCTTCAGATCCATAGCCGGTGGGGTAATCTTAGGCGAAACGCTTGACCCTCCTTACCGACACGTCTCGGGGTGCCTCAGGGAGGAGTTCTTGATACCGAGAAGGGATGGATGAGGAAGAGGAGGAGGAAGGAAAACAGCGGGAGGAGGGAAAAAAACAGGAAAAGCGAAAAGGGAGGAGGAGGAGGAAGAGGAGGAGGAGGAGGAGGACAACGACGACGACCACAGCAGCGAGGGCGGCCCTTCGGCGTGTCCGTGCGAGCAGCGCGCCCGCTGGCACAGGCGCGCCAGCTGGCCGCGGAGAAGGCGGGTGGGCGCTCTGCCTCGTCACAGCGTCGTAACCGCCTCCCCCCGAACAGGGAGGGAGGAGGAGGAGGAGGAGGAAGACGAGGAAGACGAGGAAGACGACGAGGACGAGGAGGACGAGGAGGACGAAGAGGACCAGGAGGACCAGGAGGACCAGGAGGACGAGGAGGACGAGGAGGAGCAGGAGGGCGAGGACGAGGACGAGGAAGGACGAGGAGGAGGAGGAGGAGGAGGACCACGGCAAACTCCAGGTGCATCAGCGGTGCTGCAAGGTGCCCATCTGTCTGAAGTCTCCTCATCACGTGCCTCTTGCACGCATTCTTCCTGACCGCGCGAAGCGGCCCCCCTGAAGGTCGAAAGCCCCCATCGGGACCGCAACTCGAGCTGGGGCTCCGTTTGGAAAGACGCTGCCCTCCACCTTTCGAGCTGTAAAGAACGCAAAAAGGTCGTGGCATCGCTCGGAAGTGTGCATGTATTCTCGGCGGGGGCCATCGAGCAGCATCCTGGGTCATTCAGCCGAGCCAGCATCATAAACGCAGGACGACGATGGCGAGGAGGGAGCGGGTCTCGTCGTGGCGCTGTCGATGTCCAGTCGAAGATAGAAGGGTGATGCCACCATTGGACATGTGCTCTGCGGCGCCGCAGAAGGCAATGGTGCTGGTCCCCAAGAGAAGTGGCGCGCCTCAGAAGCATGCGCAGCCTTGGCAGTGTGACGTGCCGCCGGTGTCCGGCAGGACGACGGGGGCTTGGCATCGCTCGGGCGTGTGCATTCTCCCTTCGGCGAGGGCCATCGAGGAGCATCCCTGATCATCTGGCGAAAAAGCCACGCACGAAACCGAAGAAAGCACAGGGAATGGACGTCCGAGCGATGGCCAGATACCCATAGGTCGTTGAAAGTAGGTCGTTTGGGATTCCCAGTGCCCAATCTACTTTAGCCGCCTTCCCGTTTCAAGAGTCGAGTGGTTGGCCTTCTTCCCTCCTCCTACAGGAGGCGGGCAGACACCCAATCTACTTCCAACGCCCTCCTACTTCGTGGTTCAACCTGCTTCTTCCGACCGATGGGTACTGCTGCTGTCGCGTCAACGTGTCGGCCCCTTATCCGTCCGAGCGATGGCCAGGGGGGGGGGGGCGGCGGCAGAGCGAGGCCAGCGGAGCGAAGGCGGAGCGGCAGCGGCAGAGCGCAGCAGCAGCCCAGCGGCAGCAGTGCCCCAGCCTGACGCCCCGCCCCGTCGAGGCGCGGAGCTCCAGAGGAGCAGAGCTCCTGCTCTTCCTGCTGCTCCGGCTGCTCCTGCTCCTTCTCCTCCTCCTCCTCCTCCTCCCTCCTCCTCCTCCTGCTCCTCCTCCTCCTCCTCCTCCTCCTCCTCCTGCTCCTCCTCCTCCTCCTGCTCCTCCTCCTGCTCCTCCTCCTCCTGCTCCTCCTCCTCCTCCTCCTCCTCCTCCTCCCGCGAGCGATTGCTGCCCGCGCCTGGGCCCCCGCGGTCGACTGTGGGCGCGGAGGGGAGGACTCCGCCACCGAGCGCCTGCAGCGGAGACTGGAGGAGCTGGAGGAGGAGCGGCCGGTGTCCCCTTCATCGGAGGGTACCGGCGATGCACCTGCAGTCGAGACTTCGGGAGCGGAAAAGAGGGGGGTGATGACTAGGGGGGGGTGGATTTCATGGCGCGGGCCATGATTTTCCCTCCGATTTCATGGCGCCTCTTCTTATTTCATTACGTCCCAGGCCCCCCCGCTGGGCCGCGCACATGCCGCCAGTCATGATGTGCACCCCCCCCTTTTGGACACCCCCCTCTTGGGCGCTCCCGAAGACTGCGGGACTCAAGAGACGGGGGTGGATGCAAGTGGGGGTCAGTCAGAGCGCCGGACCCAGACCCCCTCGGGTCGTGAACAGATCACGACGGAAGGGTTCTCAGTATTTTCGGCCTCTGGAGGCCCTCACCGGGCCTCGGGACAGCAAAAGACGACTCGGGATGTAAAACCAGTCCCGGGGAATGGGTCGAGACCTCTGGGGGTCGACGTCATGAAAAAATCATGACGTCGGGGGTCTTTCAGGAGGAGAAAAAACACACAGACACAATTGATCGTCGATTCCCAGAAAATATGTGAAAATATGGGCAGTGGGGGGGAAGGCAGAAATCCAGAAAATATGTGAAAATATGGGGAATAATTTTATTTGTGTGTATTTATTTATGTGTCCCAGGGCCCCTTCAGTCTTGGGATGTTGCAGGATCCTGCAGGCAGGGCCAGGGCTGCATTGGCCCGGGCTTGGGTGCAGGATCCTGCAGGATTTTGCAGGATCTTCCAAAGCCAGACTGGCCCGGGTTTGCACTGACCAGGGGGCAGTAGGAGCCCGAAAGTCGATGATATCTTGGGTAAGTTTGCCGAGGGTACCCTTGCGTCGTTGCCTCTTCGGTCAAGCCTGAGCCACTTTCAATGGCCAGCCCCGCTCGAAAAGGCTTCGACACAGGCGTCCAATTGGCCTGTCTGCATCCTGATCGCGCATCCTCCTTCGAGTAGGGGATCGGCTACAGGTCAAATCTACGAACGAATACGTATAATGTTCGTAGATCTACGAAATGTCTACACATCGTCCACGGATTCGACGAGAACAAATTTACTTGGGGGAAATCAATTCTGTAGTCGATCCCATACTCGATCACTGTCAGTTTTGACTGTCCACCGATCCTGGCCTGGCCGGGCCTAGACCCAGGATCGGAGTACACGTATGCTTTGCAGCCGAGGCCGAGACGTATACACCGATCATGGGCCCAGGATGACGTCGGGCATGTCCCTCTAACTTAAATAATATGGTGTTGATTTAGTACCTAACAGCGAAGACTGATAGGTTCCTAATGGTGTCAAAAGAGAGCATATGATGACTCCCCAGGGGGGTCTGGGCGGGAGCCGGACAGGCGAGGGCCGGGCTCGTTTTAAGCAAACAGTCACACACTTCGTGCTCTTCGACCTCCCAGAACTTTTTTCCCGGGACACATTTTGAATGCCCGGAGCCAACTATAGGCCATTTCGTGCTCTTCGATTTCCCAGAACTCCATTCCCGGGCCACATTTTGGATGCCCGGAGCCAACTGTAGGCCATTTCGTGCTCTCCGACTTCCCAGAACTCCATTCCCGGGCCACATTTTGGATGCCCGGAGCCAACTGTAGGCCACTTCGTGCTCTTGGACTTCCCAGAACACCATTCCCGGGCCACATTTTGAATGCCCGGAGCCAACTGTAGGCCATTTCGTGCTCTTCCACTTCCCAGAACTCCACTCCCGGGCCACATTTTGAATGCCCGGAGCCAACGTTACGCCACTTCGTGTTCTTTCACTTCCCAGACTTCCAAGACTCATCATCTTCATCATCATCACCATCGTCCCCGTAGCCTTCTTGGCTACAGCCCTGCTTTCGAAGATATCCTTTCAAAGGAACTGCGCAGCGCCTACTGCACACCTTAATGCCAGGACATGCTGATAGTTCTCGGTCTGGCGGCGGTGCTCCTGACCCTGCTGCATTGAACAGCGGTGCTCCTCAGCCTGCGGCAAGGAACAGCGCTGCTCCTCAGCGTGCTGCATTGAGCGGTCCTCTGCAAACGCTCGTCGAGCACGTGAAGCAGTTCGGCCGGATACCGAAGCGAAATAAAAGAACGTCCGACCAAGAACGGGCAGAAAACAAGTTGGCCGAACGTTTCTCAGCGCGCGTACTTGTATAATCCTAGTTCCAGCAGTAGTAAGACTGCGCGGCCGCGGTGCTTCTCAGCCTCCGAGTTTCTGCGGTGCTTCTCAGCCTGCAAGTTTTGCCGACCGTCCGCTTCACACGCCGCCCCTCAGCGCGCCCCTCTTCCGTTTGCGAGATGTCTTCCAAGATTTGGTTGGGGGCCGAGAAAGACGGACAGAACAAATCCAAGTAGCGCGGTCATCGTCCCATCATCTTCTTCAATCGCATCATCATCATCATCATCATCATCATCATCATCATCATCATCATCATCATCATCATCATCAATGGTTTCGCCGAGCACCCCGGTGGAGACTCAGGTTTTACGGGTCCGTGGCCATACTATTACTATTACGACATCACACTAAATCCATTCATGGGGGTGCCTGCTTCGGAGCTACGTTCATTGATGCAACTGTGTCGTTCGAGGCTCAACCCGTTGATAGTAGGGTCTCGTTTGGAATCACATCCGTTGATAGCAGTGTCTTGTTTAGACCTCAATGCATTTATACAAAGATCTCATTTGGAGATACCGTTATCGAAAGCAGTGTTTCTACTGCTACTACCACTGCTCCCATCACTCCTACTCGTTCACTCCACGCACTACAACTACCATTTCATTGTTACCACTACTACCATCACTATTACCTCTACTGCTATTGCTACTGTTATCATTACTGCTGCTGCTGCTGATGTTGCTGCTGCTAGTGTAGCTATTGTTACTGTAACTACTGGCAGTGCCACTGCGACTGCCGCTGATGTTGCCACTGCGGCTGCCAAATTGCGAATCCGAATGCGATTGCGAGAACACAGCATTGCGAATCCGAATGCGATTGCGATTGCGATTGCAAATTGCGAATTCGACAACAGCATGAATACCACAGGCAATGTTTCCAGCTATGCTTCTACACGTCGCTGTTAGGTTGCTTTGCCGGGATAATTTTCACTATTGATTTCATTACCTAACAGCGAAGACTGATAGGTTTCTAATGGTGTCAAAAGAGAGCATATGATGACTCCCCAGGGGGGTCTGGGCGGGAGCCGGACAGGCGAGGGCCGGGCTCGTTTTAAGCAAACGGTCACACACACTTCGTGCTCTTCGACCTCCCGGAACTCAATTCCCGGGACACATTTTGAATGCCCGGAGCCAACTGTAGGCCACTTCGTGCTCTTCGATTTCCCATAACTCCATTCCCGGGCCACATTCTGGATGCCCGGAGCCAACTGTAGGCCACTTCGTGCTCTCCGACTTCCCAGTACTCCATTCCCGGGCCACATTTTGGATGCCCAGAGCCAACCGTAGGCCACTTTGTGCTCTTGGACTTCCCAGAACATTATTCCCGGGCCACATTTTGAATGCCCGGAGCCAACTGTAGGCCACTTCGTGCTCTTCCACTTCCCAGAGCTCCACTCCCGGGCTACATTTTGAATGCCCGGAGCCAACGTTACGCCACTTCGTGCTCTTCCACTTCCCAGACTTCCAAGACTCACCATCTTCATCATCATCATCATCATCATCATCATCGTCCCCGTAGCCTTCTTGGCTACAGCCCTGCTTTCGAAGATTTCCTTTCAAAGGAACTGCGCACCGCCTACTGCGCACCTTAATGCCAGGACATGCCGATCGTTCTCGGTCTGGCGGCGGTGCTCCTGACCCTGCTGCATTGAACAGCGGTGCTCCTCAGCCTGCGGCAGGGAACAGCGCTGCTCCTCAGCGTGCTGCATTGAGCGGTCCTCTGCAAACGCTCGTCGAGCACGTGAAGCAGTTCGGCCGGATACCGAAGCGAAATAAAGGAACGTCCGAACAAGAAGGGGCCGAAAACAAGTTGGCCAAACGTTTCTCGGCGCGCGTACTTGTAATCCTAGTTCCAGCAATAGTAGGACTGCGCGGCGCGGTGCTTCTCAGCCTCCGAGTTTCCGCGGTGCTTCTCAGCCTGCAAGTTTTGCCGACTGTCCGCTTCACACGCCGCTCCTCAGTGCGCTCCTCTTCCGTTTGCGAGATGTCTTCCAAGATTTGGTTGGAGGCCGAGAAAGACGGACAGAACAAATCCAAGTAGCGCGGTCATCATCCCATCCTCCTCCTCAATCGTCACATCATCATCAATGGTTTCGCCGAGCACCCCGGTGGAGACTCAGGTCTTAGGGGTCCGTGCCCATACTACTACTACTACTACTACTACTACTACTACTACTACTACTACTACTACTACTACTACTACTACTACTACTACTACTACTACTGCTACTGCTACTACTGCTACTACTACTGCTACTACTACTACTACTACTACTACTACTACTACTACTACTACTACTACTACTTACTACTACTACTACTACTACTACTACTACTACTACTACTACTACTACTACTACTACTACTACTACTACTACTACTACTACTACTACTACTACTACTACTACTACTACTACTACTACTACTACTACTACTACTACTACTACTACTACTACTACTACTACTACTACTACTACTACTACTACTACTACTACTAGTACTACTACTACTACTACTACATTACTAATACTACTACTACTACTACTACTACTACTACTACTACTACTACTACTACTACTACTACTACTACTACTACTACTACTACTACTACTACTACTACTACTACTACTACTACTACTACTACTACTACTACTACTACTACTACTACTACTACTACTACTACTACTACTACTACTACTACGACATCACACTAAATCCATTCATGGGAGCGCCTGTTTTGGATCTACACTCATTGATGCAAGTGTGTCGTTCGAGGCTCAACCCGTTGATAGCAGTGTCTCGTTTGGAATCACATCCGTTGATAGCAGTGTCTTGTTTAGACCGCAATGCATTTATACAAAGATCTCATTTGGATATACCGTTATCGAAAGCAGTGTTTCTACTGCTACCACCACTGCTCCCATCACTCCCACTCGGTCACTCCACACACTACAACTACTACTTCACTGTTACCACTACGACCATTACTATTACTTCTACTGTTACTACTACTGTTACTATTACTGCTGCTGCTGCTGTTGTTGCTGCTAGTGTAGCTATTGCAACTGCAACTACTGGCCGTGCCACTGCGATTGCCGCTGATGTTGCCGCTGCGACTGCCACTGCGAATCCGAATGCGACTGCGAGAGCACCAGGATTCTACAACAGCATTCTTACATGAATACCACAGGCAACGTTTCCAGCTATGCTTCTACACATCGCTGTTAGGTTGTTTTGCCGGGATACTTGTTGTGACTATGTTTGATTTTTTGTTTGGCAGTTTGTTGTTCTTCTTCCAACGTCCGCCTGTAGGAGGACATGCCCGACCTAATCCCAGTATGGTCCTGGCCAGGATCGGCGCAGGTGTGTAGTTGGCGTCCTCATATATTCTTCCCATCGCTCTCCCTGCTCGTCGCTGCGGCCGAAAAGCGTGCATGGCGGCGGTGGCGATCGTGCATTTTCTGCGCCTCGCGCCTGCCTTCATAAGGCATCCAGCGGACCAGTCGCTTCCCACCGTGCCCAGGGTGGCGGTGCATAGTGCACCGTGTGCGTGCGCATCTTTAGTGACGCGCGCAATTTTGAAGGACGCAGGCGTGCACATGCAGCGCGCTTTGGTGTACGCATCGTAGTGTGAGGGCTGTACGGCTGGTGCCGCCGACCCTGAAGGCGACGCCTCCACCGGGACCCCCGCTGGCGCCACGCTTGGCATCGCTCAGACGTGCGCATGTTTCCTTAGGCGAGGACCATCGAGGAGCATCCCTGATCATTCGGCGAAAAAAACACGCACGGAACCGAAAGAAACACAGGGAATGGACGTCCGAGCGATGGCGAGTGGAGCCCCTCGGCGGCGCCTCCGGCGCCAGCCTCGGCGCGCGGAGCGCGACGGGGAGGGGGCCCAGCGCCGATGCAAGAAGTCCGAGCGGGCCTCCGATCCTCTGTGTGTACGCGGCTGGTGCTTTTGCGGAGGCCCGGGGCCACCAGCCCCGACCACAGGCGGGGCCTCCCGAGGGGCCCCCCCAGAAGAGGCGGTGCTCGCGTCCCCCGCCTCCGCGGGGAGGACCCCCCTCCCTGGGACCCGCCAGGACCCTGGGGGGGGGCAGCACTCTGACCCGGGACCCCCCCCCCTACCTCCCCCCCCCTCCCCCCCCGTCAGGGAGAGGGAAAGGGGTAGGGAATCGGCTCAATTGCGACGTGTCTTGTCTCTGTTCGTTCCCTCTGTCCTTGTGATTTTGGCGGCGGCGGCGACGAAAACGAAGACGGCGGCGGCGTCTCACACGCGCCGAGGGGTCGGCAGATTCGATGTGCGTACGCGTGTGCACATAACATACATGCACTCCTCTTTAACAGCTGTTGACGGCGAAGCATACAGTCGGGGCCCTGAAGAAGGAACCCTTGTCGTTGGGGAGGGGCTCGGTGTTCCTGAATTGTTTCGCAGCTTGCCTCAGATTTTCCTTATGTTTTCGATGCGAAATCGAAGTTTAACTTATGGAGAATAGGGGCCTCGTTCCTTATTTAGGGTTCCTTAGGTCAACGCCCTGACTCCTGACTGTACATGCACTCCTCTTTAACAGCTGCTGACGGCGAAGCATATGCTGCGTGTATGTTTTGCCGCTGCTGGCCGACGTCCAGCGCGCGGGGCCGGATCCGTGGCAGCCAGAGGTTCAGGGCCGGCACGGGAGCAGCGGGCAGGGTGCCTCGCGATCCGACGTAGCGAAAAAGTGCAACATCGTAGAAATCGCGCCCAGTTAGCAGTTTGGTGGGGCCATTTTGTGTCATGTAGGTCGTATTTGGCCGGCATTGGCAGTGCTCTCAGCAAGCATGCTGCACGGTGGGGTTATGGCTTGGTGGTGTCCGCTCCTTAATAATAATAATAATAATAATAATAATAATAATAATAATAACAATAATAATAATAATAATAATATTAATCATAATAATCATAATCATAATAACAATACTAATAATATATATATATATATAACAAAAAAAAAAAAAACGCGCCCGGAGCCCCAGACCCCGCCGCCTGTCGGCGTCATCTTTCGGGCCAGGTCGATCTGCGAGGGTCCACGCGCCCAAACCTAATTACGTCGGCGAGAACGCCCGGCTCGGAAGACTTGGGGGGCGCCAGGATCTCAGCACGAAGCAGCACCCCGGGGCGTTCTCGGCTGTCGGTGTTGGGCGCTGGAGGGTTGCGGCCGCGTTCCTCACCACCCACCAAACCACCCCAACCCAACCCGAAGGCTCAGATTTGCCCTCGATTTCCAGTGTGGGGGGGGGTCCGGGAACATCGAAAAAACACGTATGGAGCCCATACCCCCCCCCCAACCCGAAATTCGGGTCTTCGGGTTGGGTTGGGGTGGTCTGGTAGGTAGTCACGTTCAGGGCTGGCGCCCGCGGCGGTGGCGCGCCCCATCGGATGCGACCCTCTTGCGCGGGGTAGCGGCGCAGATTCCGGCCGACCTCGCGGCGTCCTTGGGCACGGGTCGCGCGGGCGCTGGAAGCACGGGCGCCCTGGGCGCCAGCGCAGTCTGTAGGAGCAACGGCCGTGCGCGACGGGCGTTGTTGGGTGCCCTTCCTCCCGGGGCGTGTTCGGCCATGTCGGCGCGAGGGCGCTCGCGCGGCCGGTGCTGCATGTTCGCATCGGTCCAGGCGATTCCGCGCGGGCCTCAGGGATTCTGCCCCCTGCGCGCTGGCCGCGCGACATTCCCCAAAGGGTGCATAGGCGCCCCGGTTCTCTTCCCACCGCCTTAACGAGCGCAGAGCACGTTCGTAAGTAGTAGCATGCGGGGAGACCGGACCGCCAGGGGGTGCGCTGGAAGATAACCAGGTGGGCCCAATCTCGCATCCCACACAGTGATATTGACCAGGTTGCATCGAGGTAACTCCCTGACACGCGGCCCAGCATAACAGCGCAAAGACGCGCGCCTTCATGTAGGGTGCCCTTTGTGACCTTGCCTCTGCGGCCCGTCCTTTGCTGTTTTGACTGGGCGCCCGCCGCCCCAAAAATCCCAACTTCGGCCTCCAAGGGTCTTGCGTCCTTACCACCCGTCCATTACGCGCGTTTTCATTGTAACTCCCTGGCACGCGGCCCAACATAACAGCAGAGCAGAGGTTGCGAGTTCGAGCAGATCGGCCTAGCACCGACATGGGCGTCGTCTACATACCCCGACCCCCGACGTCGTGATTTTTTCACAACGTCGACCCCCAGAGGTCTGGACCCTTTCGCCGGGACCGGTTTTGCATTCCGAGTCGTTTTTTGACGGTCCCGAGGCCCGGCGAGGGCCTCCAGAGGGCGAAAACGGTCAAAAACCTCCCGTCGTGATTTGTTCACGACGCGAGGGGGTCTGGGTAGTAACCCGCGCGAGCACAGCATCGAACTCTGCCCTGCTGGGTGCGTTGCGCGCATCTTCCATTGCCCCCCCCTGCGCTGGCCCGGGCCTCGCGGCCGCATTCTTGGGAGGGCCTTGCAGCCGGCGCCGCCGACCCTGTGTGGTAGGAGGATATGCACATGGAGCACGTGGGCGAGGAGGAGGAGGAGGGGGGGGACGAGGAGGAGTAGGAGGAAAACGTACATGTGGAGGGGGGGGACGAGGAGGAGGAGGAGGAGGAAAAAGAGGAGTAGGATGAATCCATACATGTAGATATATGGGGTGGTCGGTACATAGTCTAGTAAGACTTAGAACAAGTAGTGTCCCCGACAGAACGATAGACCCGAAGGGGTTGAGCCGCAGCGCACCTGCACCGTACGCTTCCGAGGCACGTGTGGTGCAAACGTTTTCGGGCTGCGCGGAGGAACAGCATCCCTCCGCGCAGCCCCCGCACGCATCGCCCGCACTCTGGTCCTCGTCGTCGTCGTCGTCGTCGTCGTCGCCGCCGTCGTCGTCGGCGGCGTCGTCGTCGGCGTCGGCGGCGTCGTCGGCGTCGTCGTCGCCGTCGTCGGGCCCGCCCTCGTCCGAAGAGGAGCTGGGGAGCAACGACTTCATCGTCCGCGCCGCCGAGCAGCAGGCGAGCGTGCGGGCGGCACAGACCTGGGGGGGGGGGGCGCACGGGTCAGGAGGAGGGGGGGGGGGAAAGAGGGAGAGGAGGACGAAGAGGCGGAGGAGGAGGAGGAGGAGGAGGAGGAAGAGGGGGAGGAGGGGGGGAGGAGGAGGAGGAGGAGGAAGAGGAACAGGAGGAGGAGGAGGAGGGAGGAGGACCGCCGCGCCACCCCCCAAGGCCGCCGTGCTCGCCTGAGCTCTAACTCGTCGATCTGCGTTTGCTATTTTTTTCGCGGGAATGTCATTGCGTTGCGGTGACCCTCTCCCGACGCTGAACGACGCTGAATGAGGAGGCGGAGAAGAAGGAGGAGGAGGAGGAGGAGGAGGGTTACGACAACGACGACAAGGATATTGGCGCTCTCGTGCCATATCTGACATCCTGCCCCTACCACCCATCACTTCACATGTTTCTGAGTTCGTTTAGATCCGCCAAAGGGGTGTCCTAGAGGACCTTGATACTCAACGGCACCTAAAGGTGCGATGCGCAATCAGAAAAGGGGGTTCTACATTGGACATGGATAATCAAGAGGAGGAAGAGGAGGAAGAGGAGGAGGAGGAGGAGGAGGAGGAGGAGGAAGAGGAGGAGGAGGAGGAAGAGGAGGAGGAGGAGGAGGTTGCGGCCCGGATGATGAGGCGGAAGACGATGAGGTTTTTGTGTGTTGGGTGGGGCCCAGTTGTGCAGTGTGACAGACGGCCAACGGCCTCGCGCCGAGACGCGAAAGGGTGGGGGACGGGCACGTCGAAAGGAGGGGGGAGACGGAGGATTCGGAGGAGGAGGAGGAGGAGGAGGAGGAGGAGGGGAAGGAGGAGGGGAAGGAGGAGGGGAAGGAGGAGGAGGAGGAGGAGGAGGAGGAGGGGAAGGAGGAGGGGGAGGAGGAGCGGGAGGAGCAGGAGGACCAGGGGAAGGCGGAGGAGGGGAACAAAAGGGGGCGGCATCGGCGAGGAAGGCATGTGATCCGGAAGAGTGCGGCCCGCGCTGCGGCGCGGGCGCCATGCTGAACGACGGGAGCGACGCGCCGATCGTGACACGCGGCCAACGCTTCGGCGGGAGCGCAATCCTCGAAGGGCCGAGGGCGGCCCGACCGACTCCTCACGTGAAGGACGACGACACGTCTTGCACAGCGCGTGCTCAACCGGCAGGCGGGGGAGGCGGCCGCCCCAGCGCACGGCATCGGGGAAAGGAGGGAGGGGCCGTTCTCCAAGCGGCGCCTGCACCGGGAACCCCCTGTCGTGTTCGCAGGAGTCGGAGATGGGTGAGATTCTGGGGGTGATGGAGGATGACGAGGAAGAGTTATAGGAGGAGGAGGAGGAGGAGGAGGAGGAGGAGGAGGAGAAGAAGGAGGAGGAGACGGAGGAGGAGGAGACGGAGGAGGAGGAGACGGAGGAGGACGGAGGAGGAGGAGGAGGAGGAGGAGGAGGAGGAGGAGGAGGAGGAGGAGGAGGAGCAGTGTAAACCCAAGAGTCATCAACGATGTTGGAATTACCCTTCCCTCCTGGGGTCAACGATATTGGAATCAACGATGCTGGAATCAACGATGCTGGAATCAACGATGCTGGAATCAACGATGTTGGAATCAACGATGTTGGAATCAACGATGCTGGAATCAACGAGGTTGGCTCCCCCTTCACAGGCCCCCCGTGGGCGCCCGCGGGCACCTCGTGGGCGCCTCGGCGCCCCGCAGCGCTGCATGGGCGCGCCGATGGCCGGGGTGTCCCCCGGCAGGGCGGCCAGGCTTTCGCTCCGCCTCCTCCCTCCTCCTCGTTCCTCCTCCCTCCTCCTCCTCCATCCTCCTCCTCCTCCTCCCTCCTCCTCCTCCTCCTCCTCCTCCTCCTCTCCTCCTCCTCCTCCTCCTCCCTCCTCCTCCTCCTGATCCACCTCCCTCCTCTGATCCTCCTCCTCCTTCTCCTCCTCCTCCTGATCCTCCCTCCTCCTCTTCTCCCCCTCCTCCTCTCCCCTCCTCCTCCTCCTCCTCCTCCTCCTCCCCTCCCCTCCTCCGACGACGACGACGGACGACGACGACGACGACGACGACGACGACGACCTGCCTTCACCCTGCTCCCATCCCCCCCCTACCTGCAGGTCTCCCCCCCCCCCGAGGCCCGGCCCAGCGCGCCCTCTACACCGCGCCGCGCGAGCGCGCGCGAGCGCGCGCGCGCGCGCCCCGGAGGCGGGCCGCGACGTGGAGGCCCCCGGGGGCGCTCGCGGCGCCCGCGCCCGCGGAGCTTCGCCACCGCCGTCGCCGCCGCCGTCGTCGTCGTCGTCGTCGTCGCGCCGCCCTCGCCCTCGTCGTCCTCGTCGCCCTCGTTGTCGTCGTCCTCGTCGCCGTCGTCGTCGTCCTCGTCGTTTTCGTCGCCGCCGCCCTCGCCGTCGTCGCCCTCGCCGCCGACGCAGCCGTGCGTCCAGCCGTCCTGCTCGTCGTCGTCGCCGCCGCCCTCGCTTCCCGTCGGCGTCGCCGCCGCCCGTCGCTGTTCGGCGCTCAGGGGTCGTTGCCCTCGTCGTCGCCGTCCTCGCCCTCGCCGCCCTCGTCGTCGCCGCCGTCGCCGCCCTCGCTTCTCGTCGCTGTCGCCGCCGCCCGCCGTCGCTCGGCGGGGAGGGGCGGTACGAGGCAGCGCTGTGGGCCGAGCTCCTGGGAAGCGCCAGGTACATGGCCCCGGCTGGCGCGACCCTGCCCCCCCAGGGATGGCTGTCGCCTGCTGCGAGCAGCCGCCGTCCATAGGGGGCCGGCGCAGAGCGTTGGAGGAATGCGCCGTCACCCATTTGCAGTGAGCAAGGACCTGCGCCCCGCCGCCAAGAGGAGGAGGAGGAGGCGGAGGAGGAGGAGGAGGAAGAGGAGGAGGAGGACCCTAAGCCAATCGTCTGAAATTCGAGCCGGGCGAGAGGGGGGATTGGGAAAGGGGGGGTTACGAAATCTGCGGCATGCAGCTGGTTTCGGCCCCACCAAGGGGCCCCAGTCCTCGATACATGGTCGCCTCCCGGCGCCGGGAGGCGCCAGGAAAATCAGCTATGTGAGCTGATTCTCAACCCGCCCCTTTGCTATCCCCCCCTTTCGCCCAGCCCGAGAAATCCCAGAGCGACGGGAGGTGTTTCGCTATATTCAGATTTGGGGGGCCTTCCCTGGGCCTCGGGACAGTCAAGAAACGACTCGGGATGAGAAGCCGGTCCTGGGGAATGGGTCGGGACCTTTGGGGGTCGACGTTATGAACACATCATGGCGTCGGGGGTCTGGGTTCAGTAATTACAATCAAAGCGGTGTTGGCCATCGAAAGTGATTAAGGATGGACCGAAGAGGCAAGGATGCTCCCTATCATTCCTATCTCTGGTTTCGACTGTACGGGGGACCAACCCAGACATGCTCGTGTCGTATGGGACGCACAAGGACATAGTAATTAGTGCTATGTGTCCTCCTTGGAGGCGTGCGTTCGACCGAGACATCTAGTGCACACATCTTGTAGTAGATCGTTTCCCGAGCGATGCTGCCAGAGAGCCTCCGCCACGGTGCTTATGCCATAAGATTTCTCGCCGAGCACCACCCGCAGGGCACCAAGGCAAGAATCGCAGCAAGCAGAAACCGGGACGATGGAGGCATCGTGGCGCGTGAGTGCAAACATCGAGCATCACAGCAAGTACGAAATCATGGGGCATCGTCCAAGGAGCAGCACCCATGGGGCACCAGAGCAAGGCCGAAACCTCTGCAACAGCTGAGCCACCTTAGGGCAGAGCACCACGCATACGGCGCCAGGGCGAGGAGGCGCAACAACGAAACATCGCAGCGAGTCAAGCACCGAAGGGCGCACGGCCAAGAAAGATGATTCGCGCCAGCGATTGCATCGTGGGGCGCAGCCATCCATACGGCACCAGTGCAAGAACGTGACCATAGCAACCATTAGGGCATCATTGGGCGCCAGCCCATGCGCACCACCACGGAGCACCATGGCGAGAACGTCAAAATCGCAACAAATGAGAGACCAACAAGCACCAGCTCAGCCTCCCCGTCATCCCCCTTCACCTCCACCTCCTCCTACTCCTCCTCCTCGTCCTCCTCCTCCTTCTTCCAGTCGTCACCTTTTTTCCCGTGTATTCCCGTCCTCCCCTTAATCAGCATCTTCTCTTTCTCAAAACATTCGAAGAATTCCAGAGGTTCCCAAGAACACTTGAAAGAGCACATGGTCGATTCGACCATCTTTCCCTCCTCCTCCGACGATTTCCCGGAAGAGGAGGGGGAACATGACGACGACGACGACAACGACAATGACGAGGACGACAAATACAACAACAACGGCGACGACTTTGAGGACGACGAATTGAAGGACGGCGACGACGGCGACGTCGACGAAAGTTTTGACAACGACGACTTTGAGGACGACGGCGACATCGACAGCGACACCCACGACGACGACGACGACGACGACGACGACGACGACGACGACGACGACGACGAGCGGCGAGGTCAAGCAGCAGCGTAGGGAACTGGATCAGCTGCAGGGCACCGTCGCGGACATCCAGAGGAGCCGGCCCTTCCGTCTCTGTAGCGTGTCCCTTTCTGCCGTGGTCTCTCCCGCACCTCCTCCCCCTACAGCTCTCCTTTCCCCTGCCTCGTCTCCTCCTCCTCCTCCTCCTCCTTCCTCCTCCTCCCCTGCCTCGTCCTCCTCCTCCTCCCTCCCCCAGAATCGACTCCTCCTCCTCCTCCTCCTCCTCCTCCTCCTCCTCCTTCTCCTGTCCCACCGCCTTCCAGCGACGCTACTAGAGCTGCTCAAGGCCCAGCTGAGCGGCGCCGAGATGGAGGCCAAGGCTTCTGTCCTGGATGATTGGCGGCCGCAGCAGCTCGCCCCACGGCCTCTGCGCGCGGCAGCCGCTCGTGACCGTGCACCCCTGGCTCGGAGTCCCCGCGACGTGGTGAAGACTTGCACCGTCTGCGGATATGTCGACGTCTTTTTTTTCTTAGAAAAAAAGAGAAAAATAATAATAAAAAAAAAAAAAGATCTGTCGACGTCGTCGTATTTCCGTCGTCGTCGTCGTCTGCAGATTCTGTGCTGCCTCGGCGTCTTCGGGGGCGCCTGCCGCGCGACTCGGGCGCAGAAAGCTGCGACCCGACCGCGTGCTGCGGCGGCTCGTGGCGCGTGCTCGCCAGAAGCTTCCCCGACGGCAGGTCCGTGCCGTCTCGACCGGCGCCGACCCCGTCGGCGGCGTACGACGCGGAACGCCAAGGAGGAGATGAGGAGGAGGAGGAGGAGGAGGAGGAGGAGGAGGAGTCGATTCTGGGTCGCCGGCGGCGACGACCCAGAATCGATGGAAGTTGAACGATCTGACGTTTCGGAAGCGGCCGACCGTTCGAGGTTGAACGACCCCCGCGGTTCATCGAGGAGACGATGACTTCGGCGCTGGCTCCTGACACCGCGGGGGTCGTTCAACCTCGAACGGTCGGCCGCTTCCGAAACGTCAGATCGTTCAACTTCCATCGATTCTGGGTCGCCGCTGCCGGCGACCCAGAATCGACTCTCCTCCTCCTCCTCCTCCTCCCTCTCCTCCTCTCCTCCTCCTCCTCCTCCTCCTCCCCCTCCCCCTCCCCCTCCCCCTCCCCCTCCTAAGAAGCAAGGGTGCTTCCAAGAAGCCTTCCCCCGACGGGGCCCCGACGTCGTCGACTTCACGCAACCCTGACTCCAGATCCGCCCTACTTTGGCTTTTTTCCCAACTTGAAACTGCGTCGGAAATCCACCCCTGGGAAGCCGAAAAAGTAGGGCGGAAATTTCTGCACCCAACGGAAAGTAGGGCGGAAGCCCACAGAGGTAGGGCGGAAACAGCAACAGGAAAGTGGGGCGGAAATTGGCATCAGCGGGGTGTGAAAAGTAAGGCGGAAATTCCAAGCCCTACTTACGAATTTCCCCAAAGTAGGGCGGATCCGGAGTCAGGGAATGACATAAACATTAAAACTCGGAGGTCCGCGCGGATTTCTCGGATCCGCGCTGGAGCCTCCTGGCAGCGCCTCCGGCGCAGCCCCTGGCGCCGAAGGCGCGCCAGCGAGGGGGGTACAGCGCCGATCCGAGGCATCCGCGCGGACCTCCGAGTTTTGATGCTGACGTCACCGTTTGCTCCCCCGGTTGCGCTCCCGCGCCACCGGCGAGGCCCTCGGGCCCGAGGTCGGCTGCCCGCCGGGGGACGGAGGCCGCGAGGCCCCGGGCTCCCTGCCGCGTCGCCCGTGGGCCACGGGCCGCTGGGGGGCTGTCCGCTCCCAGCCGGCGGCCAGTCGGAGGGCGCCGGGGGACGCCGCGGCCTGCGAGGGCGAGGGCGGGGCGCGAGGCTTCTCCTCGAGGGGCGGGGGCTGCGAGGCTCGAGGCTTTTCTCGAGGTTTCCCCGAGGATTGTCCCGAGGCCTTCTCGAGGCCTTCTCGAGGCCTTCTCGAGGCCTTCTCGAGGTCTTCTCGAGGGGCGAGGCGAGGTTCCCCGCTGCGCGCCCTGCGCGGCGGAGGGGCCCCGCGCGGGCGGGCCAGCGGGCCAGCGGGGGGCCCTGCCCGAGGAGAGTGCGGCTGCTGGCAGTCAGGAGGGGAAAAACACACACAGAGACAATTCATCGTCGACTCCCAGGAAAATATGGGAAAATGCGGGCAGGTGGGGGGAGGACCAAAAATCCAGAAAATATGGGAAAATATGGGGGATATGTTTTTATTTGTGTGTATTTCTTTGTGTGTCCCAGGGCCCCTTCAAAAGGGGGCCCTGCCCGAGGAGAGTGCGGCTGCTGGCAGGGCCGCCCGTGCCAGCGGCGCCTGGGCCCAGCAGCCTGCCTGCCCCGCCTCCGAGGGCCCGCGCGGCGGCCCCCGGGGTGCCCGGCGTTGGCCCCGGCGTCGAGCCGGCCGTGGGGTCAGCCGAGGCCACCGCGTCCCAGACCCCCTCGCGTCGTGAAAAAATCACGACGGGAGGTTTTTCGCTATTTTCGCCCTCTGGAGCTCCTCACCGGGCCTCAGGACCGTCAAAAAACGACTCGGGATGAAGAACCGGTCCCGGGGAAGGGGTCCAGACCTCTGGGGGTCGACGTTGTGAAAAAATCACGACGTCGGGGGTCTGGGTACAGGGGGACTTTCGACGAAAAAGAAGCAATACCCCCCAAAAAAGTCAAAACATAGTGCCCAAATAGTCTGGGGACTATGTTGTAAGTATTTTCTCACCTTGTTGGGGCATTTTCTAGGTATTTTCTGTTTTTCGTCGAAATTCCCCCTGTAGGGGGACACGCCCGACATAACTGCAGTGTCTCCACTGCGGCGGCTCGTCGGCTGCCCGCCAACACGCGGCCAGGGCAGCCGCAGTTGAACCTCGCGGTTACACAGCTGGCTGCGGAGTTCATTGCGTCTCATTCTTCTCCTCCTCCCCTCCCTCCCTCGTCGCCACTCCTCGTCGCTCCGTTTTCCTTCCGTTATTCTTGCATTTTCTCTTCCTCCTCCTCCTCCTCCTCCTCCTCCTCCTCCTCCTCTTGCTCCTCCTCCTCCTCCTCCTCCTCCTCCTCCTCCTCGGTTCCCATCATGCTCCTCGCGTTCGTCTGCTGATGGGGCCCCCTTCCAACCTCTCGAGGCGCCGTCCTGTCTTATCCTCCGTCCGCTTCCCGCGCTCCCCCCTCCCAGCTCAACGCCCCCTTCTTCCCCGCACGCCGCTTCTCTCCCTCGCCCGCGGGGCCGCGAGCCCGGCGCGCCCCTCGGGCGCGAGGGGGGGGGGGGCAGGGGGGGCGGGGGACGTGACGGGTGCGTGGAGGGAGGGGTCAGGAGGGAAAAAAACACACAGACACAATTAATTTGCGATTCCCAGAAAATATGGGAAGTGGGGGGGAAGACAAAAACCCAGAAAATATGGGAAAATATGGGGAATCATTTTATTTGTGTGTATTTATTTGTGTGTCCCAGTTTCCCTTCAAGGGGGGGAGGTTCGAAGGAAAGCAGCGGCACACGCATAAGCCGTCGGAGCTCCGCGCAGATCTCCTGGACCCTGCGCTGGCCCCCCCCCCCCCCCTGGCGGCGCCGTCGGCGCCGCCCCTGGCGCCGAAGGCGCGCCAGGGAGGGGGGTCGAGCGCCGCTCCGAGAAATCCGCGCGGACCCCCAAGAGTTTATGTTTGTAGAGCTTTTGCCTTCCTCTAGAGGTAGGGGGGGGGGGGGGGGGGGGGGGGGGGACGGACTTGGAGTTAGGGAGGCAGGAGGAGGAGGAGGATGAGGGGAGGCAGAAGCGAAAAGAAGAGAATCAGGGAAGGGGGGGAGGGAAGGGAGGAGAAGAGGAAGGGGGAATAGGAACGATGAGAAATGAGGGATGAGGCGAGGAGAGGAGGCGCCATATCTGCCTTTTCCTCGCCTTCCAGCTGAAAGGAGTTCGCCCGCGTGCCAGGCTTGCCCAGAGGCGAGCGCGAGACTGGATCTCGTCCTCCTCCTCCTCCTGCTCCTCCTCCTGCTCCTCCTCCTCCTCCTCCTCCTCCTCCTCATCAGCGGCATCATCAGCATCAGCATCAGCATCATCATCATCAGCATCATCAGCAGCAGCATCATCATCATCATCAGCATCATCAGCATCATCAGCATCATCAGCATCATCAGTCATCGTCATCATCATCATCATCATCATCATCATCATCATCATCATCATCATCATCATCATCATCATCATCATCATCATCATCATCATCATCATCATCATCGTCGCGCCTCCGTCCTCCTCGCGCCTCCGTCCTCCTCTCCCCCATCCCTGCCCCCCCTCTCCTCGCATCTGCTTCCGCGTGCCCCCCTCCCCCACCTCGGAGGCCCAATGCGCTCGAGGCTCCCTCGAGCAGCTGCCCCCGAGCCCCAGCGAGCCCTCCCAGGCCGCCCCCCTTGCAGAAGCGCCTTTTCTGGCTCCTCGCACCGTGTCCACCGGACCGGCCCTGCAGCTCCAACCCGGCCCCGTCCCGCATCCCCGCCCCTCCTCCTCCTCCTCCTCCTCCCTCTCCTCTCCTCCTCCTCTCCTCCTCCTCCTCCTCCTCCTCCTCCTCCTCCTCCCCCCCCCGCATCCTCCTGCCTCCTCTGGCACGAGCCAGCCAGCAGGGGCGGGGCGCATGCGCCTCACTCTCCTGCTTTTCTGTCTCTCCTCCCCATGTGGCCCGATACAGACATGGATCGATCATCGTGGTGATGCTCCGGCCCCATCCGCACCGCCCTTCCCGCAGGCAGCTCACTATGAGCTACACCCAGGAGCGAGTCCTGAAGGACTGTCTCGCGGCGCCCTGATGTGTGTGCGTGTTTGTGTGTGTGTGGGTGTTTGGGTGTTTGGGTGTGTATGTGTGTGTGTGTGTGTGTGCGTGTGTGTGCGTGTGTGCGTGTGTGTGCGTTTGTGCGTGTGTGCGTGTGTGTGTGTGTGAGTGTGTGTGTGCGTGTGTTCTGTGAGTGTCTGTGTGGGTGGGAATGTCGGGGCCGGGCGTAGACAGGAGAAAGGAGGAACAGGACGGGGAGGAGGAAGAGGGATGACGAGGAGGAGGAAGAACAGAAGGAGGAGGAGGAGGAGGAGGAGGAGGGAGGAGGAGGAGGAGGGGGATGAGGAGGAGGAGGAGGAGGAGGCGGAGGGAGGCGGGACGTGACAGAAGAGGCGAGTCGATTTCATCTCGTGGAGCTCAAAGTGCAACCTTGCAGGAGCCCCCACAGACTGCCTGCCTCTCTGGTGGCGGCCCCCTTGTGTCAGGAGGAGTAGGAGGATGAGGAGGACGACGAGGAGCATCGGAGCACTGTGACATTATCTTTCCCAGACTCTGGCGGTGTTGCAGCACCGCTATGCGCGGTCGCCACCGCTGTTGCAGCACCGCCACCAAGGGAACGTCGTTTGGTCGCTTGCGATGTTGCAGGCGGCGCTACCGGCGGAGCGTTATGATTATACCTTGCCCAGTCTCTGGCGCCTGCTGCAGCACCTCTACCTGACGTGCCTCGCCGGCGGCAGCGCAAGGCCGCTTGGCCCCCAGCGGCCTGGCGGAGAGCAGGTGCTAGGGCCAGGAGGTCGTCGCGCTGGTGGCCACGTCGGCCTGCTGGCAGGCCGACCCCTCGCGAACGAGGGCGCCCCCGTGTCCTCCCGACACCGCTCCATGTCCGCTGCGCGGCCTTCTCCCGCTGTGTGAGTGTTGCTTGCGCCCGCGCCCCCTCCTCGGCTTCAGCCCGACTCCGCCGCGCTGCTGAGCGCGTGGCCGCGACGCCAAGTCGTGTGTGTGCGTGTGTGTGTGTGTGCGCGTGTGTGTGTGTGTGTGCCTGTGTGTGTGTCTTTGTGTGTGTGTGTCCAGATGTGAGCTGGGCTTCGTGCGCTCCCACCCGACCTGACCTACCCCGCGCCGCCGCGTGCGTGGCCGCGACGCCAAACAAGTGTGCTCAACCTAGAATAGAGATTATACTACAGTACAGTATAAGAGCATGAAGTCTAACATTGCAAATTCTAGTCTGATGCACTATAACACAACATTCTGGATTATGAAACGATAAAAGAGACTATACCAACTCAACCTCTGCATCTACAATCCAGAGATCTGTATCTAACCGTGCGCAGGCGATAGTATAGTATATCAAAGTATAGAGTGATGCACTATGATATACGTACGATCGTATACTATATTATCTCACACGCCAACATACCGTAAGTTTATGCTCGGGAGTAGATCTATCACATTGTATTACAATTTCGTTGACTTCAATATATAGGAGAAGATCTTGTACTATAATATACTATGCTATACTATAATACCAGCTGCGCTAATGTGTATCTCGCACGCACACACACATATATATGCATACACACGTACATACATACATGAATGCATCCGCACATACACACAAACAAATAAGCACGCGTACAATCGTACATGCATACGTATATTCATACATGCATGCATGCATGCATACACGCATACATCAATACAAACATCCATACATGTTTGCATACATGCGTACGTACATACATACATACCTACATAACTCCATACACATTTGCATGTACATGTACATGTGTAGTTCAATTTGCATAGTTACACTTAAATTTACATCTGCATTCATACATACATGCATTCATGCATACACACATACATACAGACACACATCGATACATGTATATATATATATATATATATATACATCTATATGCATGATTCAGGTCCCGGGTGCCCCCCCACACCCGCCCACCATGCTGATGGTATTGGGCCCCCCCCCGATGGGCCTGGGTCCCCCCCCCCTTGTGAGTGTGGTGTGGCCTGTGGCCTGTGAGTGTGGGGTGGTGGTGGAGTGTGGGTGTGTGAACTGGTGGCGAGGGGAGAGGAGGGAGGGGGGAGAGGGAGGGACCACGACGGCGACGGCGACGACGACGGCGACGACGACGGCGACGACGACGGCGGCGACGTCGTTCCCCCCCCCATCCCATCTGGGGGGCGGGGGTGGGGCCCGCCGAGTCCTGGGACCCATCCCATCTGGGGTGGGGCGCCGCCGGACCAGGAGCGGGGATCATATATCTATATACACACAGATATCGGAGGTGAGGGGGTGAGATCGAAGTGGAACGGAGAGCCCCCCTACCGGGAAATCGGTTTCGGTTTCGTGTTCGTGCGTGCCGTGCGTGCGGGCGAGGCGAAGCTGCGTGGCTGAGCCGCGACCGGACCAAATGACTCCCTTCCGGGGGGCCGGTGGCCCGCGGTGTGCCGCCAGTGTCCCGCCGTGGCTGAGGCGCGGCCGGACCAAATGACTCCCTTCGGGGGGCCGGTGGCCCGCGGTGTCCCGCCGGTGTCCCGCCGGTGTCCCGTCGGTGTCCCGATGATGATAATGATGATGATGATGATGATGATGATGATGATGATGATGATGATGATGACGACGACGACGATGACGATGATGATGATGATGATGCTGATGATGGTGATGACGACGATGATGTCGATGATGTCGATGATGTTGATGATGATGGTGATGGTGGTGATGATGATGGTGTCCTGATGATGATGATGATGATGATGATGTTGACGATGTTGATGATGATTGTGATGGTGGTGATGATGATGGTGTCCCGATGATGATGTTGATGATGGTGAGGTTGCTGATGATGATGATGATGATGATGATGGTGTCCCGATGATGATGTTGACGATCATGATGATGTTGATGATGATGAGATGATGATGATGAAGATGAGGATGATGATGGAGTCCCGATGATGATGATGATGATGATGATGATGATGATGATGATGATGAGGTTGACGTTGATGATGATGCTGTTAATGATGATGATGATGGTGATGATGATGATGATGATGATGGTGTCCCGATGATGATGATGATGATGATGACGATGATGGTGTCCTGATGATCATGATGTTGATGATGAGGATGATGATGAGGTGATGATGATGATGGTGGCCTGGTCATGATGATGATGCTGATGTTGATGATGATGATGATGATGATGATGATGGTGTCCCGATGATGTTGATGATGATGCTGATGATGATGATGTTGCTGATGATGATGATGGTGTCCCGATGATGATGATGTTGACGATGTTGTTCATGATGATGATGATGATGATGATGATACGATGATGATAAGGGTGTTCCGATGATGATGATGTTGATGATGACAATGTTGACGATGATGACGATGATGGTGTCTCGATGACGATGATTGTGGTGATGATGCTGATGATCATGGTGATGAGATGATGATGATGATGATGATGATGATGGTGGTGATGATGATGATGATGATTGTGTCCCAGTGATGATGGTGATGATGATGGTGATGATGATGATGATGTTGGTTACGTTGATGACGATGATGTTGATGATGATGACGTTGATTGTGAGATCGATTGTGATATCGATAGTGCGATCGATAGTGAGACCGAATGTGAGATCGATTGTGAGATCGATTGTGACATCGATAGTGAGATCGATTGGGAGATCGATAGTCAGATCGATTGTGAGATCGATCGAATGAAATAGATCGATTGTGAGATCGATTGAGTGAGATCGATCGAGTGAGACCGATAGTGAGATCGATAGTGAGAGCGATAGTGAGACCGATCGAGTGAGACGTTGGTTCCTCCCCCCCAAACCTCCTTACCACCCGAAGGGTGGTCGTATAGGTATATATGTATATGTGTATGTGCATGCGTGAGCGTCCGAGTGTGTCCAAGTGTGTCCATGTATATGTACGTGTATGTACGTGTGTGTGTATGTGCGGGTGCGGGTGCGGGTGCGCGTGCGCGTGCGCGTGCGTGTGTGTGTGTGTGCGCCCCGCTGCCCCTCGGAAGGGCCCTGCGTCCTCCCGGCCCCCCCGACGACCTCGCGCCCCGCGCGCGCGCGCCGGCTGCTGCTGCGGCGCGCGCTGCGAGGGCGGGGCCGAGGCAAGGCGCCTCCCCAGCGACCGCCGAGCCGAGCCACGCGGAGCCCTGCCACAGGCCACGGGCGGCGTCCGGCGGGGCCGCTGATGGCGCCGGTGGACGCGGCGGCCGACCACGCCGAGCTGCGGATGCTCGCCACGCACCAAACCACCCCAACCCTCCTCCTCCCTCCCTCCCTCCTCCCTCCCTCCTACCTCCCTCCTCCTCCCGGGACGGGTCGGGGAACAATGCAATCATCCTGGCGAAGGACCCAACCATACGCAGGTGGGAGAACCGCAGGGCTGGTGGGACGAAGCAAGGTGACTTCCAAGTGGGGCCACGAACCGTGTGAGGGGTGCGCCAAAATGGGGCGGGGCCGCCATGCGAACCCTGCCACCTGTGGGGCCACGAACTGTGTGAGGGGTGCGCCAAAACGTGGGGCCGCCATGCGAACCCTGCCACTGGTGCCTTCGGTTGCGCTCCCTATGGGGCCACGAAACTCTGTGCTGGGTGGGTGAAACGCAGAAAGGAGGAGGGGGAAGAGGGACGAGGGGGAGGAGGAGGGAGGAAGGAGGGAGGAGGGACGCGGGGACCGCCTCTTCAAAACGAGGACCCAACACCACAGGATGGTTGGTAAAAACACGTGGAACCCGTACCCCCCCCCAACCCGAAGTTCGGGTCAAATCTAGGTCTTCGGGTTGGGTAGGGCTTGGTCCGGTAGGTAATCAGATGCCGCTGGTGCTGGGCTCCGGACCCAGGCACGCCCGCGCCGTGAAAAAGCAGGACGGGAGGGTTCTGGCCCTTTTCGGCCTCTGGGGGCCCTCCCACCGGGCCCCGCGGGACCGTCAACACCACGATTCGGGAGGAAAAGCTGGTTTCATTATTACCCTCTTCCTCCTCCTCCTCCTCTTTTCTCGGCCTCTCCCTCCTCGAGATTATTCTCTTCCCTGTCCTCCCTCTAAACTTCCTCCTCACCCCTACCTCTACATCCTAGAGATGATCATTTTCCTTCTCGAGTCATCGTCAGAATTCCTTTTCCTCGTCCTCCTCCGCCTCATCCTCCTCCTCCCCAATGTCATGCCTCATATTCCTCTCGACTTGATTCACTTTTCCTCATCGAGGCGGCCTCCTCTTCCCCACTCGTCCTCGAGGCCCTCCTCCTCCTCGAGGTGCCCTTCATCCCCATCCTCCTCCCGTCCTCCCGCCCTTCTCCTCCTCCCCTTCCTTCTCCTTCCTCCCCCGTCCTCGCCATCCCCCACCCCTACCACCCTGCCCCGCCCCCTCGCGCCCTCCCGTCCCCAGCCCCACGGGACCCGGAGGACCGCATCCGGGAGCTGGAGCAGAGCCACGGGAGAGGTCACGTGGCAGGACCCGCTCTTCGGGTGGGGGAGCCCCCACGGCGACGACGGTTACCACGACTACTTCGACGGGGACGGCGACGACGACGAGGGCAACGACGACGACCACGCCCACGACGACGACCACGACGACCACGACGACGACCACGAGGACCACGACGACGACGACGACGACGCGGCGGTGGCGGCGGTGGCGGCGGCGGCAAGATGGGAGGCGTTGGGGCCGAGGGAGGGGGGAGGCGTAAGGGCAAAAAGGGAAGGAAGGGGGGAAGGGAGAAAGGAGGGAGTAGAGGGGTAGGGATGGACGAGGGGGGAGGGGGAGAGGAAAAGGAGGGGCACGTTAGGCGGGGGGAGGAGGTGTGGGGGGTGGGAGGGGAACGGGGGAAGAGAAAGGCAATGCGGATGACTAGGATGTTTTTGATGATGATGATGATGATGATGATGATGATGATGATGATGATGATGATGATGATGGTGGTGGTCGTGGTCGTGGTGGTGATGATGATGATGCTGATGATGATGCTAATGCCGCTGCTGGTGCTGATGATGATTATGATTATGCTGATGATGTTGATGCTACTAGTGATGATGGTGACGATGATGACGATGTTGACGATGGCGATGATGACGATGACGATTACGATGACGACGATGATGATTAATATGATGATGATGATGATGATGATGATGATGCTGATGCTGATGCTGATGCTGATGCTGATGCTGATGCTGATGCTGATGCTGATGCTGATGATGATGATGATGATGATGATGATGATGATGATGATGATGATGATGATGATGATGATCCGATCAG